CCCTCCTGAATAACATTTGAGACAGTTACAAACCGTTGTGACCCACGCCTTCCAAAGTATATTTGCAAACATCATTTTCTTCTCACAATTTGAAGTTCATGGTTACAGTCTTCTAATCCGAAGCAACACCGTCATCATCAACAACTACTTTTGTACTATGAATTCATAAATCTTGAAAAAAATAAAAACAAGTTCAGTACTTATAAGGTACGTAATCCAACAATATCTTTACAAGTTTTTCTTTTTATTTATTTTTCTTAAAATCTTCACTGTATTTCCTACGTTAGAATTATGTATTGAACCATATATATATATATGAATGAATGAATGAAAATGAATGAAATTAAAATATGGGTATAGGATCTTTAGTCATGTTAAAATTCTGAAAGAGGATGGGACGTGAATTAAAGCCATGATTTCTATATATCATCATCTAGAAATTAAAATATGGGTATATGAAATAAAGCCATGATTTCTATATATCATCATCTTTTTTCCATTTCCTTGTGTTTCTGTTGAGTTCTTAGTTTTTCTTTTAAAAAAAAGAGAAAAAAGGAAAGAAAAGAAAATATCACAATGCTATATATGTTATTGTATGGAGTGGATAAAGATTTCTGTGTTAGCATTAATTAACGTTGTTAGAAAATTCCGGCCCTATTAGATCATAAATCTCACGAGGATTGGACAAATAAATATTACCATCGTCTCTTAAAATCTTGATTCCTTTCTAGTATGGTTTTTCCTGGAAGGATAGAGAATATTACAGGAACTGAAATGAATCAACGCTCATGGTTTATGCAGAAAGAACAATGGCATCGTTGAAGTCTCAAGATTGTGGAAGCATTTGCCAGCTTGCTCTTTTCTTGCTTGCCGTGGTGGCCGGAATATCAATCATCACCTTAGGGCTTATGATGAACTCAAAGTACAGTCCACGGACACAGAAACAGCCTCTAGTGATCAGACTCAATTCCTTCTCTGTATCAGACCTTAACGTATCGAATTCCATATCTGGGGCCAATTGGGATGCCATGTTGTTGTTCGGGAACCGGCATAGTTATTTTGAGATTTCGGTCGAAAGTTTTGAAAGTTTTGTTTACTATTATCATCAAGATGCTCTGTCGTGTGCATTAGTGGAGTCAATTCATTTGGGGCCCAAAAAGCAGAAATTGGTGCAGATCAAATTTAATGCCTCTGGGTGCGGAGGGGGTGAACAACCTTTTGTTGAGGAGAGGGTTCTGAAGGAGATAAAGAGAGATGGAGATAATGGAACTTTGCATTTGGGGTTGATGTTGAATTTTCAGGCTTCTTATAGGAAAGGGCCTTGGTCTTGGGTCTATTGGCTGAAGGCTAAATGCACTGACTTGGACGTGCTGTTTGAAACTGGTCCGGGTGCTGGCATGATGATCGGCGATGAGCCCAGAGCGTGCTTGGTTCCATTGCTCAAGTGATCATGATGTTTCTGTCACTTCCTTGTTCTTATTTCTTTGTTCTTTTCATTTCCTTTCCTTCGTATTGAGTTTCTGTCTTTATTTTGGAATACTACTACTGTAATCAATGCATTTTCTATAGCAGTTTTGGTGTTGCGTTGCTGCCACGAAAATTTCAGACAACCTACAGGGCTGGGAACATCATGGAATCAAATGCACCTAGTCCTATCTCCAAAACTAGCAGCGAAGAAATTTTGTAACCTGAAGGCCAGTTCTTGACAGATTCTGGATGTGGAAATCACACATACTTATAATCATAATCCTCGTATAGTTTCTAAGCAAAAAACTCTAGGAAATTTGTCCATCACACGTGCAAGTTTTCTTGGCCATATCTATATCATGCATCAACTTTGGCCGTATCTAACAAAACTTTGTCACAGTAAAGCATAAAATTTGTTAACTAATACCGATAATTTACTATTTTCAATCATAGCAAGTGATAAAAAAACAGGAGCAGCATTTTCAGCCATTTCACTACACGATAAGCAATACAGTATATCTGTACTCATCGTAGAACCATGTCATGAGCTTTTTTGGAAACAGCCAAGATTGCGCATCTTCTTACAAACATTTTTTGGATTTGATTTTTGTTGCAATGCTCCACTCAATTCCTTCGAAGCTTGAGAAATGTGTACTACCTTATTGTATTCAAGTGCCAAAGAAAGAGAGGAAACCCAACTCAATATGGCCAAATGCACCCGTATCATGTGACATGACAACCAATTCCATTTGAACTTGTTAGCTTAATCGTAACATGCAACACACAATGTACGCGGTTATGCCACCCTTGATTCTCCGTAACCTTTCTGGTTTTCTCCTTCATCCGATTCAACTGAAAAAATTAAAATCTCTGCCTCCTGGCTCTCTTGGGTTTGAAGAGAGATAATCAATTACGCGTACCATGTGTTAGGTTGATTGTCATTAATATACAACAACCATTAACTATTGCATCAATCATGTGTACTCATCCAAGATGTCAAAGGTTGGCAGCCACCATTATTGAAGAAGAACTAGAGTTGACAGCCACCTTTGTTGAAGAAGAGCCTCCATGAATACTTATAAATAGAGGCATGTGTTAGAGAACAAAATGTAAGTGAAGAGAATTATGAAAATGTGAAGAGAATAGAGAGGAAGAGAGAGCTACAATGGCAGCAGCTGCAAGTGCAGCAAAAAGAGTTGAGAGTTGAGTATGAGAGGGTGTAATCCTCCTCCTTCGTGTATATATTTTTATTTTTTTTCTATCTCTAAATATATTGACTTCTCCCGTAAATGTAGGCGGTTTTGCTGAATCATGTTAAATATTGTGTTAGTGTGCTTAGCCTTCCTATAAGCAAGTATCAGAACATCACCGGTCGAAATTCCCAACACTGTAGCTTTAGAATCCCAACAACACAATGAACACAATGAGGGAGGAAGCCAACCATTTGAAAGCACCCTTTTTCCTTTAGGAAGACTTAAGTGTCCTCCACCGATGAGTTATCCTCCTACATTGGGATATGCACCACCACCACATTCAGCCTATCCACTGCCCGGTTATTACCCTTATGCGCGAGCACCACCACCAGCCTATTACATTAATTCTACAGTACATCAACAAGGATGTCAAAAGTCATCAAGTTTCTTACAAGGCATCCTGTCAACAATAATATTCTTGGTGATGTTTATATTTACACTCTAATTAATCATGCTGCTTGCATTGCGTCCTGAAATTCCTGTTTTTCACGTTGAAGACTTTTCTTTATTAAATTTTAATGCCACCATGCCTACCTTCACGGCTACTTGGGAAGCATACGTATCAGTTAAGAATCCAAATACCAGATTGAAAATAGACTTTGGTCAAATACATAGCCATATGTATTACGACAAAGATTATATCCTTGCTTCAGCTAATTCCCCCAAGTTCTCCATGGACGCAGAGACAAGCAACGTAATACGTGCCAAGCTATCGGCCAATAACACGGATAACTCGGTGGAGAGCTGGGCGGTGGATAAATTGGCCAAGGAAAGAAGCAATGGGGCAGTGGGTTTTCACTTTAAAATGGTGTTCTCGACTTCTAGTAGATCGGGTTCATGGTTTAGATCAAATCCTCGAAGCATGGAAGTTGTGTGTGACGATATTAAAATTGCTTTTGCGAGTGCTTCTGGTGATGGGAATATTGCAGCCAGTGCAGATAGGGACTGCTTAGTTCTTAGCTAGTTAATTTGTATGTTAATATATATTTTATAATAAGGGAAAAAAAAGTGGCCAATATATGTAAAAATGGTTTCTTTTATCCGTCAATTTCCTCTTAAGCTTCTTAATTATCATATATTTTCACTCATGTGGTTGATGGAGACATAGTTTTGATATTAGACATTATAGATATGAGCATGTTCTTATTTGAAAAATTGCTGGTAATATATGGTGTTGATAGATGCACATACGTTTTTTCTTTCACAAAGCACAACGTGTATAAACAGATTATAATTGAATTACGGTCAGTTTGTTTGTGTTTTTTCTCTTTATTAGTTACTAAAATAAATAATTATTAGATTATTTTTTATTATTTGCTTGGGTCTGTAAAAATTATTAAATTTAAGTATTTTAGATTTAATAATAATATCAAACCTAAAATCTTTAACTCTTGGATTTAACAACTATGTTTGATACTAATCTTAGACATTGTCTAGTATAATTATCAAAACCAAAAATAAGTCTACCAACAATTCTAGACCCAAATATGGATCTAATATGATTATTAAATCTAAAGCTCTAAAGTGTGACATGAATACCAAACTCAAGCCTATTAGATTTGATATCATCATCAGATCGAATGTATAATATTTTTTAATATAAATTTTTAAAAATAATATTGCTTCGTGGTGAAGCGCGGACCAATATACTAGTAATTTACTATGGATCCAAAGCCTACTTATTTTTTTTTAAGAAATTCTTTTTTATTTTTTTTAAACTTCCTATTTGTTATATTCAATTCATATTTTTTGGTTTAATTATTTATTGGGAATTCCGGACAAAAAGAAAATGAAATTAGTATGAAGCTAAATATTGTTACTCGGACCTTTTTCGGTTTGTTGATATTCATGGTAATTTGGTCTTAAATTTTTAAATTAGGAACTTCTTGTGCTATTTTATATTGTAAAAAATCTAATTGATAATATTGTTTTCAAAAAACTGATGATAAAACTCTAAATATGTTCAATTATGTTTTTTTAATGAAAAAAATTAATTTAAACTTTATATTATCACATGCGTAAATGTCATTTTTGTAACAAAATCAACATTTTTTTAATGAAAAAAAAGCTGAGTGCTGTCATAATTAGTTTTTACTCCATTTTTATCATATTTACAAAAATATTAAAACAAATATTTTTAACATGATTTACCTAGTTTTTTTTGGTAATTTGGTAATTTTTTATCACTTCACATGCCATGAATTTAAAATTTTTTCTTTAAATTTCAGAAATACAGAAAAAGGAGGAAAGATATTTTGTTTAAAAAAGAGGGGACTTTTTCCAAGATACCGGAAAGTTTTGGAAAATATATGGAAGCCATAGAAGGTTGTGGAAGAAATTAGAACCAATTATGAAAGGAATATATTAACTAGAATAAATACACCGCCTGCACTAGATGGAAAAGGAAGCGTTTATGGATCCTGCGGGCCCTTCACGCACTCCAAGAGCTCATAGGCACATGGAAAAACACGCCACAAGCCATGGTGGTTCAAGCCGAGATTGTAACCGACGCTCCACCATGAACCTCCTATGAAACTTCCGGTCACTAGCAACCTTTGTGCTCATTTCATCGACCATTGAAGGTTGAATTCTTATGCTCTTAGACCCTAACATTTTTGAGCTTATTCTTTGAATTTGTGTTTGTACTTTAAGTTGAACGGTAGAACTTAGATTTTTAAATTACATGTTGATTACTTGATTTAGTGATGGATTGTGAGCTTATTCTTTAAGTTGTTTGTATTTGAACCTTTAAACTTTGATTCATGGATCATGTTTGGGTTCAGGTTGGGTTGTTTGAATTAGGAGGTGATTTGAATGTGTTTTTGTGAAAATGACCACGTTCTTAGACCTGGTCGTTATTGAGTGCTTTCTGGCCCCCAATTAACAATAAGAATAATTACCAAGCATTGCAGCGTCCTAAAGAGGAACTGGAGGAACAGAGGAAGATCGAAGAGGTTGCCAAACTTCTTTGCTGAGAAAAGAGGCATGAGATTGGTGAAATAGCTATCCGGCATAAGAGAATAAATAATGATTTTTTCCGTGTGCAAGATCCTAAACCAACTATGTGTAAATATTTATTCTCTAAAAAATTTGCTTGAAAGAGGCTTATCTTTGCTAGAAAAATTCAAAACATTTTTTCTCTCTGTTCTGAAACTTCTGCCCATTATTTCCAGTAAGAACAACATTGATATAGCAGATCCACGTTTGATTGTTGTGCCCTATGTTGCTTTCTTAGTCTATTTATTTTCTTTGGCCCTGTTTAAGTAGGATTGTCATCTGTTGCAATACTGAAATTATGCCGATAGTGTTACCATTTCTTAAGTAGCACACTACAACGAGGATGAGTTTCCATGATGAAAGATTTCAGTAGCTTGCGTATTTCAAATTATTCAGCATGAGAAATTCTCTGAAGTTATTTGCTTGAGGTAGAAAGCTTTCGCTCCATGCTTACAGAATTTTTTTCATATTGTTCTAGGTACAAGAATGAGTAACTCCTGATCCTGGGATAGATGAAGTCACCGGGGAAGCATGGCAGCCATTTTCAGAGAAACTAAATGCTGTTCCTTCCAGAATATCCAGTGGCTCCATCCCAGGATTGTCAGTTGAGAAATTTCTAGAGGACAATCGAACATTAGCACTCAATATATTTCGTTTTAAGCCCTTCTCGACAATAGTCCCCACCCCATTCATGTTCCTATTGTTCTCAGTATAGTTGTAAGTATTTTATGATGCTGCATAATTTTTGCGTCTCAGTTTCATTATAGCCTTTAAAATTCCAGCTTCGTATGCGGGGTTATTGGTCATATAATTGGTGTTGGGGTTGTTCTTGGTCTTCAGAACATTGGTGCACTGTAAAAAGAGTATACCCTGCTTTAGAATTATTATTTTTTAAATGAAAATACCGACAGATTTTCATGATTCTGTCTGTTTTAAAAATCACTGACTAAATTGTCAACAGAATCATTGATGCTCAACTTTCTGATGACTGAATTCTGTCGGTGATTTTTAATACCAGCATGATTTTCTCTAAATGCTGACCGTCATTTCTGAGTGTGAAAAAAATCCTGAAACTAAACGATTTCTTGAAAATGGGAATAGCTCCCATGAAAGCCCAGGTATATCCTGTTCCATGTGGTGGACATATCACAAAAGTAATTTATCAAATTAAGCTTTTAACAACTGATTTACATGACGAGGATATAAGTTTGATAAAATTTGAATAGGTACATAAACTTACTTTGTGCGATCATGAGTTGAAATGGAGCTAATGCATCCGATTAGTAGTCCAAAAAATGGAGGAAAATGAATTCTTGCATGTTGTAGAATTGAACTTTTTCTCTCGTAAATATGAGAATTGAATAATCATATGTATTTTTAAATTAGACTATACATCAATCAAAATTATGTTTTTATACGAATGATCTTAAAAATACAATTCTCACGTGGATCCCATTTATCTTATTAAGCCAATATTAAAAACTAAAAAACAGAAAAGAGATAAATATCCTTAGGGGATAAATAGCAAGTAGAGCTTTTCAATCAGGCTACGAGTTTTTCTGTAAAACTCTTGTTAATGTCAAGTGGTAAATAGACTTTTTTGGAACACACATGCTAGTTTTCTGGTCAGAGAGTTTTGAGTTGAGGTTTGGAGGAAATGCATGTTCATATGTCAAGAGTAAATGCTAGTTTTCTAGTTTTTTTTTTTTTTTGAACCTTTTGAAAGGCAAGCCTGCTTTCTTTAGTGTCTCGGAATTTGCTAGAGTTGAGATTTGAGGAACTGCCTAATTTAGTGCTTTTAACTCAATTATTTGAACATTCATGTATAAATATACCAATCAAACAATCAAGGTAAAGTTAGCATACGGAACTACATCTTTCAAAATCATATATATTTGTTAGTTCTTAATTCGACTTTTTGTATCCCCTGTTTGTTCTTATGTAGGTTTTTGAACTGTGTCTAAGCTTTCTGAAATGATGTCTGTACAAGTTATATGATTGCTGTTTCATTGATATTTTAGATTTCTTCCATTTCAGCTTGTTTGATACATGAAAGAACTGGTGCCCCGCTTTCTGAAATGTGTTCTCTGAATAAGTAGACTTTACACCTTATATTGCTAGTTCTTAATTATTGCTTGTGAAACCAAAACATGTATGTATTATAAGTTTTTCGCCACATTTTTCTTGTTGGTACTGATCCTGTTTTTGTTTTAAAATTATAAATTTAGGTAGGCTATGATATGATGATAATGTGATGCAGTCAAAATGGATGTATTTGTGCCTTATGGTTGAATAATTTTAGATCAGTTTAACATTCTATAAGGGTTCTGACGTGTTGGCAAAATGCCAAATTCACCTTTGTTGTTGTATATTTTCTTACTAGAAGATGCATGTCAGGTTTCTTGAATATGGATGAAGAAAAGTCCTTATCAGAAGCTCTCACAGCTGATGTGTATGCTAGTTTTGTCCACATGAACAAGCTTCGGGCACAGTGCTGCATTGGAAAGTAGAAACGGCTTTAGCTTGCAACATTCCGTATGTTTTTTCAACTCTCTTTTTGGTATTTGTTCCAGCATTTCATTTTTTCATTTTACCCATATTCAGATTAACTAAAATTCTAGTGAATGCATTTCATAAATCTTGATTGGTGTGCATATACGTGGGAATTCTGATTCCTGCGTTTGAAGAGCGCAGGGATCTGAAGCTTGGTTAACCCTTGCCAGCTGCTTTAGAAGATTTGCTTCTAATTTTGCGATTGCAGTGACAGTCATGCCAAGTTTTTATTTTTATTTTTTATAGCCCTGATATGAAGTGGAATGTCTTTAAACATCCTTTCTACAGTAATTATTCCATCCCGAATTCAACGAGCCATCTGTAATATAAGCGCTGAAAATTAATCTTTTGAGCACAATATAAAGCCAGATGGCCTAGGACATTTACTAGAGTGGAGATCTGAGATGAGCTACAAATATTATTATCAATGCGATCGCGCCATCTATTCAGTTGGTTGATGAGGCACCTTGAATTCTTGGTGCATTGCTATTGTTTTAAGGATCACTTTATATTTGTGATAGATGTGTGCATAGGCATTTCATCTGCATGTTCAATTGATACTACTACAGAACTTGAGGGACAAAGCTGTTGTATATGGATCATGTTGTTTTTATCTTATATTATTATTTGGATCATAGTGGGAATTTCATCTAGTCTACGTGTTGGTTAGTGCTATGTATCTGTTCTATGAAATCTTGGTACATTGCTATTGTTTTAAGGATGACTTTATATTTGTGATAAATATGTGCATAGTCAATTCATCTGCATGTTCAATTGATGCTACAGAACTTGAGGGACAGAGCTGTTGTATATGGATCATGTTGTCTTTATTTTATATTATTATTTGGATCATAGTGGGAATTTCATCTGGTCTACGTGTTGGTTAGTGCTATTTATTTGTTCTATCGGTCTTGCTGAGCGGGAGACCTCTTGCTCATTCTTATCCTCAGCGTTGCTGCACTTACATCATATGGTGTGCTGTTACAGGGAACTGTTCAGCTCCGTCCGAAGGCATGCGAGATAGAGGTCTTGGCATAGTTATGGAAGTGGAAGTTTGGTTACTAGTGGCACCCTAGCATCAAAGCATATCCTTGGAAAAGGTTTTTCATTTTTCAGTTCTCATACAGGTGTTGCTCATAGCAGCCCAGATGGATCGAAGAACTATAAGCTTCATCAAAATTCAGTCTATATATGCTCTTCTAATTTCAGTGATCTTCTTTCGTTACCTGTTTTATTTTAATACCAGGTGAGCCTCCTCCTTTCGCAACCTCCAAGGATGCCGCTGGGGTAGAACTTGAACATGCGCTGTTAAATTCACATCAGTAACATGACAAACATTGTTCAAATTACTGTTTCCCTCGCCATTATTGCTTCAAGTTCAAGTTCTTTAATTGTTTTAAATATTAATTATAATAAGACATTTACTGCACTATGGTCTACCCGACAAGTGGGGAGGAACCTGCTCTGTCATAGGTTTGCCTTACCTAAATGATCTGGCTTTTAACTTTTTTTTTTAAGTTGTGGTGCCTAAGGATAGGGTTCTGAGGCGTCTTCTATGAACATGATGAGATACCCATCACAAGAACCGGGCCACATTATATTGCGCCAGTAAGGCATGATTAAGACCCTGGTGGCTGTATTAGTAGAGAGAGAGGAGAGAGAGAGAGGATGGCGTTCTATCTCATGTCTTGGAATATTGTTTGTCATGATGAATGTTTGGTAGGAAACTTCCAAATGGATTTGGATGCGAATTGGAGTCCGAATTAGCAGATTAGTTTCTATCTTCTGATGGCAAACCGAAACTCTTCTGTGATTTATACATCATATGGGAATTATTAGAGTCTTTGGACATGAAATAGGAGCTGATAGAGAGGGGATTGAATCATTGAGGAGATCAAAATTATCCTTATCATTCAGTCTTCTCTACTTTCCGTTTGTTTCTTACATGCAAAAAAACCATACAAATGTCAATTGTTTGAACGCCGAGGCAAATGGTCGGTGGAGATTTCAATTATTGTTTCGTTAAATGTAGAACAGAATCATTACAGAGCATTATCATGACCTCTTCTTGACTCCTCATGTTCTTACGTTGCTTTGCACTGATCTCCTCTGATGTGAAGTTCTAACTTTCCAACCTTTCATTCTCTTTGATTTTATAATTATAGCGACGAAAAACATCCAAAGAGCTTCTACAACACGCTATTTAGGGTAATTTTATAATTATAGCGATAGAAAACATCCATTTGATTCTACAATAGCTATTTGTTTATTTTAAAAAATATTTTAGTTTTTTAAATTAATAATTTTTAGTATTTTATATTATTTTAATATACTGATGCTAAAAATATTTTTTTATAAATTAAAAAAATATTATTTAAATAAATTTTTAAATTAAAAATATTTTAAAAAATAATTATTATCATACTCATAAATACTTTTTCTCAATCATCAACTTAATGGCATAGTTAAAAAAAATCTATAAAGAGTGATGGTAGATTTAACACTGAATAGTGATATATTGAAACTCTTATGTTATAGTTAAAGCTATAATTGATTACCATTAACCTTTTCCTCCCCTCATGAAGTACGGATTCAAACCTTTTACTTGTCAATATAAAAACAATAATTATAAAATCTAATCCTTGTTTTATTAGTCTAGACAAATATTTTTTTTAAAAATATAATATAAATTTAAATTCATCTGTTTTAATCTAATTTATTATCTTGGGTTTGCATCAAATAAATTAAATTTAATAATTATCTAAAAATCTACTATCTTCTACGTGAAATTTAATACTATTACATGATTTATGAATTGTGATGTAAATATGACTACTTTCTTAACATGTTATTTTTTTTTATTGTTAAAATGAAGATTATGCAGGGAAAAGATTATCAAATCAAACTGATCATTAAGAAGAAGAAAAAAGAACTGTCAAAAACAAGTCATGGAATTGATTGGCTCGGAAAGATAGAGATAATTTAGGATTCCAAGAAACCCTTTCTTTTATATTCCATATATTTTTTCCGATCCTTTTCAGTTTGGAGTTGTCTGCCATGATAATTCCCTACCAAGCAAGTGTTCTCACCGATGCCCTTTATTCCTGATCAAACCTGACTTTTAGGTTTTGTCTCTTTCACTAGCCAAGTTGCCATCTTGACACTTTATTCTCGAGCTAAACCTAGAAAGAAAGTCAGAGCGTGCTCACCACGCACAAATCACAATGTGACATCAGTCTAGCTAGTCTGCCGTCGAAGATAGAGTTCTGAAATTCATGGTTCGAAACTTAAAAAGATGGGGATTTGAGAGGTTCGAAGCAGATCCGTTGTAGGGACTTCGGAAGTACAACAATGGGGATCGGAATCAGCCTAAATGTCAGTGCTGCAATATGGCAAAGGAGAAGAGAATAAGCCTCCCTCCCTCCCTCCCTTCCCTCGGAGAGGATATTCTAATCAGCAATGGAATGAAGCTACCAAACGTACATGGAGAGGGATATCCTTTGGCTTCTTTCTTCTCTTTATTTCTTTCTTCTTGTTCAGAATTAGTACACAGAATTTCGGGCTATCCTCTTTGCAGCTCCCATGTACATGGTACCACTCAAATGAGGATTCTTTTATGATTCAAAATGTTAATGATTATTAAATTATCCGATTATTGTATAAAAATAATAACAAAACTTATTAATTTTAATTTTAATAATTCTAAATAAATATTGAATTTTGTCGGTGTCGGGCAATATAATTAAGAGTTGTTTTTAATATTATAGCAATGGTTATTTTTTATAAATATAAACTATTTAATTCACAGTAATTTTGTGAACTTTAAAAAGTCCAGCTAGCTATGATTTCTTACTCCCAAAAATTTTCTTCATTCAGAGGCCCTTTTTGTCCATCATTTTTCTCTATTTACTCCTGTTCCCCACTCACGTGACTTGTGGAGTCAATCATGGTGTGCCACATGCCGTGCTTCTTTCTCTCTTTCTTTCTTAATGCAATTTTATGGCTAACTTGCGCTTAATTATCATCCAATCCTAAAATTCCCTTGCTCTGAATCAAGCACGTGGTATTCTATCTCAACCCTCTCCCAGTTTTCTATGTATCTCATCAGCCGATACATTAATTATGAAACGATTAGGCAATATGTTCAGAGATTAATTATATTTTAACAGAACTAAATGCTTAAGTAAAGATTAAACGATTCTTTATATATATATATATATATATATATAACTCTGAGAACTTCAGTAAGTGCTCGATCTAATGACTGATAGAGTGAATTAATCTGATATGTTGGGTAGTCATAAATCTAATTAGTTGGTTAGTCAATTCGTTCAAGGTAAAAAAAAAAATATACGCGTGTCATTAGATGCACCAACCATGTATTACAAATGTAAAATATACCTGATGATCAGCTCTATGATGCTAGATGAAGTAATGACTCATCGAATTTTTTAATTTAATTGTTAAATTTTATATATATAGTAGGTGGTTCATTATCATTTTTTATATTAATTATATTTTTTGTTTATTTAATATGGGATATATGTCTACTAATATCCCATAAAATATTTTTTATACAAGTACATTAAAATAATTTTAAAATATAAAAAATAATTTAAGATAGAATAAATCAATTTTACTGATACTCCAGTGTAAACACAACCTTAAAAAGGTTCTTAATCGGAAAGGAGATGGTAATTAGTTAACCAAAATGTCATAACAAGGTGTTTTTTTTTCCATGATAAAGATTCACGTGGCATTTACTTGAGCTGTCCTTATCTTGTATTTCCTAATAGGCAGCCAAGCTAATTAAATTTTATTTGATTGATCAGACTTGTTTAATTAAAGAAAGTGGTAAGTTTTTGAGCTAGTCAGGCCATGGTTATTTTAATTTTGTTTCTCAGATTGTAATGATTAGTGAATATATATCATCATAATAATAATAATTTAGACCCTTGATTTAATAAAACCCGATCGGAGTAATTAACGTAGCAGAAGTTTCTGAGAACCTGTTCCACAGCATATGTTTGGCTCCATCGAGCCGACAAGGAAATTGAAAAAAATAACTAAATGAGTATAAATGAAGGCTTGGGTTCACATGGGTACTTTCTTAAATTTGCACGCAACATTTCTTGGACTTTGAATACAAATGTGAGCGCACTGCCTAGCTACCTAGGCGATCTGATTATTGAACGTTGAGTGAGATGTAAACAAACGTGTGCCGTTCTTTTTGAAAATACTCAACTTGCAATCTAGGGCTTTGAAGATCGCTGTTAAGGGCTTGTTGGGTAGTTCGATGAGTTTTAATTGAAATTATATTTTGTTTTAACTATAATTTTAATTAAAAGTATTTGATTATATATAATATAGTTTTTTCTAAATTTTACAAAAATAATCTATTTTAAAATTTTAGTAATGAAAAACCTATAATTTATATATATTTTTAAGCATAAAAATCATGACGCACACTAAATATAAAAAAAGTGAGAAGGGGATATCTACGCATGTGTTTTGGGATATATTGTTAGGTGGGATGTCAACAAATCATATTTATATTAGACATTGAGAAAGAAGCATTTAGTAAGAGTTTTTCTCTCTTTCCATTATGATAAGCCACTTTAAATCGTTGAGTTTATTGTTATTTAGGTGCTCCAACTTCACCTACCAGATCAGTTTGCCTTGATTCCCAAATGTAATTTGTAATTAATAATGATAACAATATGAAAATTCATACATAACATAACATAACAAAATAAAGAATTGCAATTAATGAATAATAGGGGTAATTTAATTTATCAGATTTTTAATTTGCTCCTTAATAATCACAAATATAAATTCTCTTAAAGTCATTAAAAATTTATATTATCATTAACTTTAAATTTTATACAATTAATTAAGATACAAACAAATTAATTGACTGGAATAAAATTGCAATTAATGCCTATCAACAAGTGAATAATTTTACTTCTTAGCATGAATTAAATTTGTACATTTTGATATATATTACCGAACACAAGCTAAATTTTGTACCAAAAAGGGAAAAAAAAAAGAGAAAAAAAGAAAAGGATACCGAGTTTGTTTCCACGGTTTAAAATTAATAGAATATGTGCAAGCACATGGAAAGGCATCTTCAAGCTTCTTTCGTATTCCTTTACGTCTTTGGAAAATCTCATACCAATTGCCCAAAATTACTTACAGAGCATGAAACTGGAAGGATATATGGTAAGATTTCAATTGTATGTTAAAGTTGCAGATTTTGTTTTTTTAATTGTGATTGGTATTTTTGCTTTTTATATCTATAGTATCTCGGGCCGGCTTGTAAACGCCAAACTAGATCCCTATACTCTAAATAAAACTTGTAAAACATGACTTACACTCTGCAATTCATGGCCGTCAGTATTAGTAGGCTGAGAGAATAGAATTAAAAACCATATAAAAACATATTTCTTGGTCCCCGTTCACTTAAATATCTTAGCCACCGCTTGTTATTGGTCTTTACTTCCAGCT